ATATATATATATATATATATATATATATATATATATTCATACATTTCCATCGAAAAATAAAATATTGTCTTTAAGAAATTTTTCAAGTGGATAAAAAATAAATTTATGATATGTTCATAATATAAAAGTTAATCGAATTAACAGTGCATAATAAATTCAGCAATGTTTATCGCATTGTTTTCGAGATGTTTAATTATAAACTTTTTAAAATTATAAACTATTGTGCATAAAAGCTTAGAATACAAAAAATTTTTTTCAATTAGACATATTTATATATTATATAAGAAGATTAAAAAAACTATTGTAACAGCAAAATAAGCATTTAAGTAGATTTTAATGAAATATTATGTGATTGTATAATTAAGTCCAGATCTGAAATAACTTTATAATGTCATTTCATGTTTATTTTTATATTTGTTATTAATTTTAACATAAGATCTATGCATTCCTAATTCAAATTAAATGAAAACTTATCAAATGACAAATATATTTCGTATTTATACTTTTTTTGCTACTAGTATTTATATTAAACAAAAATCTTGCAACTTTTATAATTTTTTTTAAATACTTGATAATATAACTTTTAATATAAAAGTTATTATACATTATGGCATTAACGAATTTTATTTCACTAATATTGTTGTAAAATTATTTTTTAGTTATTTTAATTAATTTTGTAAGATACGTTGACTAGAAAGTAGCGTTAGGACCTTCCTTAAAAAAATCACTTTTTAAGCGAACATGTCACTTATGAAAGAAACGATGTTGTAATTTTGATAGAGCAATTTTTACCTTCTATGTTTAGGCCTTTATTCTGGACTTTTTTTATCAATAAAAATGCTTTTCTAATATGCATTTCTACCAACATCGATTAAACCTTATTTTGTGTTTAAATTTTATTCAGACAAAAACTTAAATTCAGGTTAAGATTTATATAAGTGTAACTTTTAAATGTTTCTAAATTTTTTATCTCTGATTGATTTATAAGCACATTTAGAAACACTTATCAATAAAACTGAGTTCAGAATAAGGGCCTTACTTTCTAGATAATATTGACTCACATTAACATATAGTAGACTTTTTCTCGCACTTCTACTGCAATATCTGTCTTGGCACGTATTATAGAATTCCTCGGAATCAATTCCGATCGGAATAATTCCGTTTTTCCTAGAAAAGATAGTAAAAATCTAGGGAATAACAAAAATATTCCGATCGGGATCGATTCCGAAAACTTTCATAATACGTACCTTGATTAATAATATCAATCTTTTAAATGCATTTGAAACACTTCATAGTTAAACAATCGCAGATGATTGAATATTTTGAACTCTCGCGCGCGCGCGTAGGGCAATAAATAAAAACAAATTTCTTGAAAAATTGAAAGTTGACGTAAAAGAACGTAAAAGAACATAAATATAAGTTGTCTGTCGGAATAGTTGATAACAATTGCTTGTGTCGAAAATATAAATCAAACAAATGCGTAAAATATATATATATATATATATATATATATATATATATATATATATATATAT